ATAGATGCACTGGCCAGTGGATGCCTTGGTAGCATGGACGTTGTGATGGTTTGTGTTGGTAGCATGGATGTTGTCATGGTTTGGGCATGGATGCACTGGCCAATGGATGGGATGCGGACCTGAGCGACAGAGAAAGCGGGGCAAACGAGGGCGATGGAGCCATATCCTAGATTCTACCCATTGTGGTTTCAATCAGTGTGTGTGTGTGTTTGTTTTTGCTTGTGCGTGATGTTACATGGGGGTAAGTGGGTATGGGTGGCTGCCGAATGCAGGACCCCGTTTACACGTCAAGCGAAGATCAGATCGATGAGGTTTACAGTGTACAGGGGTAGACACAAGCAGGACGTGGCCAACAAATCGACCCTTGCAGTGCCTTGCACCAAAGGTTCCATACCAGTTTGCTTGTGGATGCCGACGGATTGTGTGGGCAGCGGCTCGCGAAGCAGCTTTGGCCTCTTCTAGAGCCTCGGGCATCAAGCCAACAAAAACATTTAGGAGAGTGATGGTATCAGGGCTACCAACGCAGCTTCATAAGGCCGTCACTATGATCTTCGTTGCGTTTCTTGCTCAGGTGTCGCAGCTTCGCATTGGCAGAGCATCTGTCATGACATCCCACAGGAGCTGAGCTTAAAGCTAGCTTATCGCAGACTGTCACAAGATCACGTGTTGCAAAGAACGTGCTCAGCAAAGGGTGGAGCTTTGCTCGAGTTGTCTGCAACCTCAAAACTTCACGTAATGTGGGAGGAATGGTCAATGACGAAGGAGGCTGCGGTGCGGTGTATGCACGCGACAGAAGAGAGATGGCCAGATTGGGCAGAGATGGTGGAGGAGCTGGGAGCTGGGCCAAGTCCAACCTGAATAATCTGCTTCCACAGTGCTGCGTTGTATACAGGAGCTGTCTTCGTCCGCCGTGGAGGTGGCACTTTCAGGACAGTTTGAGAAGAAGGCCGCTGGACCAAAAATAGTGCAAGAGGTTCACGGACTGCCGTCAAGGAGACATGTGATTCTGCAAATAGTGTCATGGGCACGATGAGTTTCTATCGTTTAGAGTCTCATAAGAGTAAAGTTAAGTTAAAGAGAACTGGTTAGCCCACGCAGTGCGCGCAGAAAACGTTGCTGTGGCTCCGGGAGACCTGGATTGATTGTAAATTGTCGCACATTTTGGCCTCGAGTGCCTCGAAATCATTGAATCCCGCCAGTGCCGCCAGTACTTGGTTTTTTGACTCCCGCCATTCATAAGGGGTGAAGCATGATAAGCACCGTGCTCTTGAAAGGCACCAGTACTTGGCGGAAAGAACGTTGTCTGTTCTCCGGAAGTCGCCAGTATTGGGGGTGAAAGCATTCTGGCCGCGCTCCCGCAACCTCCTGAATCCGCCCAGTACCGGAAAAACATTTGGACCGTGTTGCGGTTATCTCTGCAGTCTCCTGGTGACTTGGTGATTCTTCGTGGTCTCTTGGTGCTTTTTCTACGCTGGCATAAGGAAGCTCTTATGTTGCACTTCGTTGTGCTTCGACCTTTGTCTCTGGATCTCACGCGCCCCCACAAGGCAGCACCAAATGATGCTGCCCTCCTTCGCATGGCAATCCAGTGCCACGGCTTGGATTGAATTGGGTTCAACCTCCCTGACTGAAGATCCTGACCCGGCAAACTCGAACAGCAAGGTTGGGCTTCTATTGGTGGCACGTCTCGCACGCGGATGCTTCACTAGCCGAGCGTGGCCTGTCGCATGCCGTGCAATCGTTCCATGTGGCTCACTGGTGCCACGCTGCATGGCGCGGAGTCAATCTGGGAGGCCGATTCAGCACATGAAGGCATGTCTTGGCCGTGCAGCAGGCAGATTCTCTTCCAGGTTGGATGCTGTTAGAGCCTGGACCTGCGTCGCCTTTTTTCAATCTTTGCCATGTCGCAGCCTGAGCCGTGCGACTAACTATTGACTGCGAGAAGTCTATGCCAAGTCTTCCGATTTAGGCCAAGATCCTGGAGCTCGGTGGTGGTCCTGCGCAGGACTCCCGAGGCAAACTTCTTGCGGTCCTTGGCTGCATCGGCGGCTTCCAGGAGAGCCTGGAGACATCCTTTGCAGGGGACCCTCCCAGGGAGAATCCTCCCGGTCTGTGCGATGAGTTCTCCGTCTGCGCTGCTCTACAAGCGGCTGGTGGAGAGTGCTTGCGGAACCTTGCTTGTCACGTGAAGATTTTCTTGTACGTTTGGTTTTTAGACCATGGTTTAGGAGTGAACTCTTCCGGTGGCACCGATCGCAACACTACACAGCTCGCGCCTGAGTGCCATCTTGTGGGGTGTCGCATTATCTTTCGACACCGGACACGCCACAGGTAGCCATTCGCTTAGTGACGACGTGACGCTACCTAAACACACTGACGGATTTCGCGGTGTGTATTTATTTGGGATGGAAGGAAGAGGCAAAGTTGCTGATTTCATGCATTGGTTACTTCATCTCCCAAAGACGTCATATGCTCAATTTTCCGATCGGAGGACGGCTTGGCTTGAGTTTCACTGAAGGCCTTGCCTCCACATCAGGTGAACACAAGCCGCGATGCAACACTCGACCATTCTATAAGTGTTCTCTGGGTCGATCTGGGTCGCTCTGGTTCACAGAACGAGCCCTTCTGCGGTGATGCTACTCAATCATGTGTCTCAAGAAGTTTCTGGACCCAGAAAAACCTCGAACTTTGTGTTGTCTGCTGAAAACGGGCGGAGCTGGCTTCTGTGCTTGAGAGTCCTTCGCAGGGTTGGGCATGCGTAGAACCATGCTTGGGAAAAGGGCGGGTCTGAAGAGGAGGTAACAGAAGATGGGCGAAGATAACGCCGAGCTGAATTTCTTTGGTTTGGGCATGTTACATGCCCCCGCCGTGTGGACACCGTTCGCAATCGAGGAACAGACTTTCGCCGACATTGCGAAGACGGGCTTGAATGCAGTACGAGTTCCTTTCGGCTACTGGGTGGTGCAAGGGCCAGGCAGACGAGGGCTTGGTAGAGAGTGATGCACGGGCCTCAGCACTACATCTGTCGGATTGGCAGGTTCTGGAGAGCCATACGAGGGCCCCTGCGCCGTCCTAAGAGTCAGTCTTCGTTCCAAGACTGCGGTTGTGCGTTGTCAGATGATGTGCATGACCAAGCTCCCCCCCTGTTTTCTTGTCTTGTCCTGAGGCCTAGAGGTACTGGATGGTTGTGTCCAGATGGCTGAAGCGCACGGTCTACAAGTTCTACTTGATGCTTGGCCAGTTGCGACTGTCCGTTCCATCACGCAGATCGATGAGATACTGTACGATCTTGGTCAGCCTTGACTTGGTTTGCATAGTGAGGATCTACATGGCAACCCAGGGGGGGAGAGCGGCAGCAGACCATGTGGACGAGAATACGCTGCATGGAAGTGGGAAGATTGGCGACACGACGAGGCCTTGCTGTTTTCACGCGGGCCTTGCAGTTTGCAGACCGCTGCAGGCCGTAGAGGTTCTGCGCGTTCTGGCAGCACGATACTGTGACAAGTCCTGCGTGACCGGAGTACAGGTCGGCGGGCTTGCATGTGGTACCAGCCTCTGCATTGACATTGTGCGACAGGTTTGCAATGAACCTTCCGAGAACATTCCAGCCGACAGGCTGTAAGTTGATCGGCCCCGGAAACCCGGAAGCCACGACTTTCGCAGGCTCTGCGATTTCTACGAGCAAGCCATCGAGGTTGGACTGGAGAGCGGTGCCGTCAGTAGGGGGCCACACTGAATCTGCCCTTTGCAGGCCATTCGATCCAGCGGCATGGGGCCGGACAAAGTCGCAGTAGTGCCACCTGGCCTTGCAAGCTCTTGCGAAGGGAATCCTCCGATAAAATTGGAACGATACAGAGAAGATTAGCAGGGCCCCTGCGCAAGGATGACACGCACAAATCGTGGTGTGTCTATGCTGCTGAGACTCACTTTACATCTACATACCCTACATGTCGAACTAGTACCCATGTTCATGTTGGGAACAAGACAGAAGTGACTGCTGAGAGACCAGGGAGAAGCTATGCCACTCTCGCTGCTACTCTTCTGGATTTCGTTTCTTGGTTGCCCACTGCCTTCCACGCCTGACTGACCCTTGCACTTTTCTCTTCTCTGCTTGCACTGTTTTTGGGGCCTTGCCTTTGGCCCACATCCTCTGCTGCTCTTTGGTGGCGATCGTGATGTGATACGGTGTAAATGAGGTCCTAGTCTTGTCGATGAACGGTGACGTAGTCGTCTCTTCTCCCGCAAGGCGGAGCAGAGGGCTTATCCCCTCGTGAGCAGACTGTGCTGCCATGGTGGCCAATGAATCGAAAGGTATACTCCCTCGAGAAATTTGGGCAAGGTTCTGGACAGGCCGACTGCACTAAACCCCCGTAACCCCTATACCCTGATGACCTCTGCCGCAGCCATGGTTACCCGCGCATGCTGGTGCTGACCGCTCGTCGACTACCTATGACCCTGCTGGTGTCGCACAATGCAATCAAGATGAGCTAGATCAGGTGGAGGGCTTTATGCATCTTGCTTTGAAGAGGGGTCAGCATGTACCGATTGGCGCACATCATTGGCGGAATCCGACTGCCTCTGCCATTCTGGACACGAACTTGCTGATCTTAGCCTGGATGCCCGCCAGGAGCTGCGCATGAGACTCACGACTGAACTGTGACTATGGTCGCTTTACCTGTCTGCAAGTCTGCTAATGCTGGAAGTGAAGGTCGAGCCTTCGGAGACCCGATGTGTTTGGACGTGGTGTATCTCTGTAGTGAAGGTCTGGTTCAACTTTTTGGACATGGACGAACAACTCCTGCCCTGGCTACAGCTGCCTCTACTGTGTGCACCTGGTTTCCCACGACAAAAGTGGGTGGTCTGGCAGATCGGCAGGCTACCTCTGGTAAGTTGTGAGAGGAATGTCGGAAATGTATCTTAGATGAGATGTCAGCTTGGTCGGAAGTGGCTGTAGCACAGCAGTGGGTGCAGCACCATCTGATAGTGCGCTTGGAGTGTTTGGTCCGCTGCACTTTTGATTCAAACATGCCCGAGTTTCGTACAGATACTGGGCCGGCTGAGATAGCAGCTCGAAAGGAGCCTGCAGTAAGTAGCGTCGTCGCTGTAAACCTCGCCTGAGCTCGTCGAGTTTGGGGTTACTTACCCTAAATTCTAAACCCTAAACCCTGAACCCTAAACCCAAGCTATAGCTAAGTATGCAGTACTGGCGGCTTGTTAATATATTGCAGGTTCGGATTCGCACTGCACGCCTTTAGATCTGTACCCTCGGGCTTCAAGTTTTAAAGCTAAGGGTTTATAGGCCCTAGGGTTCGGTTTCGGCATGGCCAAGCCTTTGGGCGTGATGTTGGGGCCTCTAGGATCTAAATAACTACGTAGCCTAATACGAACCACTCCTGGAAGGCTTGCGCACCGGGCTAGCTAGCATAATTTTGAAAGGACGTCGCAAGAGCTTCCCAAACCGGCGAAAGGAGAGCTGGGCCTAACTTTCTGCATCATCCAGTCGTGAGTCAGCAAGTCCAGCTTGGCATGGAAGAGAATATGTCGCTGGCAGTCGGCTGGAATGTCCGCAGCCGGCCCTTACAGATTTTCTGCAGACCCTCTGTTCTGCAGTGGTTCTGAAAAGCCACAGTTCTGCTGGTACATGCTGGCACATGTATTTGCAGGATCGTTCGCGATGTCGGGGCTGCAACTGCGGAGGGGTTATTTTATTTTTTGCTTTGTGAACTGCGGGGGGTGGGTGGGTGGGGTGCAGGGGGGGAGCTCGGGGGGCGTGGGGCGGCGGGGGGTGGGGGGGTGGGCTGGAGGCACAAGTCTTTGCGTACAAGTGGGCTTTGAATCAATATACATGTAGAATAGAAGCAACATACCGTATTGATATGGCTTAGATTACATTCGATGAGATCTGTCCATTATATAGAAAGTGTATACTCTTGTTTTTATATTAATCAATTCAATATGATCTGTATATTGAGATTATACAAACGTTTACATCAAGTTTACATCAATAATAAATTCCAGTTTTGGTAACTTGCTTCTACTTGTATATTGCTTCGAAGCCCACGTGTACGTAAAGACTTGGGCCTCGACCACCCCCC